GAAGAAATTAGATGATGCCCAGCTATAAGACATAAAAGTGATTTGGGGGCTTAAAGGCTTGTATTTAAAAACAAACAAGCAAACAAAATGGGCATTGAAGTGATGTGTCAGCTAAGTCCACATGGAATAAGCATGCTAGGCTATGTGACCCAAGGATTGTAAATAATAGAGTCCAAAACCAAAAGTAGGAAAAGTATAAGAGCTCAAATTCTGAGCACCCAGTTTGCAGAAAGCTATGTATTGCAGTGAAAACCAAAAACTCATTGCAAGGTCCCCACATAGATTAAGCCTTGGTGAATCCCTCTGACCAGGGATATGAATAACCATGCAAGGTGCATTGAAAAACAGACTAAAGCAGATGTAGTTAGTTTTAAAATGTAACATCTTATCATTTGTTCTCCCTTTTGGCCCTTTTTAAAATTGTTCTAGATTTTAATGTTTTCGGCTTTCTTTTTTGAATGAGGTATTTGTTTTATTTTGTTATTGTTAGTGTTTTTGTTTTGTATGTTATTCTGTATATGAAGCCAAGATAGGTAAATCTATGGAGGCAATAACTAGATGAATAGTGTGGTGGTTACATAATCTGGTGTCAATGTGCAAAGGGGTGGAATCTAGCCTGTCAAATAAGTCAAAGCTTGATGACCTCGTTTAGAGGCAACACAGAGATAAATAGCTCACTGGAAGCCAGATAACTCACTCTGTGTGAGACATTCCTGTTGACAAGACACATAGATGGCAGCCAGGGCACTGAAGCTAGAGGAGTCACTTGGAAACCCACACCAATGCTGAGATGCTTCCACAGCCACTGGACCCATGAGACTATCTGTGGTCTTCCTTCTTACATTCAGCATCATTGCATGTGCTGTGTGAGTCTGGAGAAATATTTATAGACTGGTAAAGGACATATGGGCTAATATCGGACTTATGGACTTGATCTGAACTGGGCTGGAATTTTTTATCAATGCAAAATTGTTCTTTGATGTAAAGTTCTCTCACAGATATATGAGTTGTCTATGAATTTGTTTTTCTAGTCTACCCAGAAAAACACAAATAGTTTTTTAGGGATATAGCAGAGGAGGTTGGGGGATTAATGGGGAGCAAAAATGAGTAAAAGAAAGAAGAAAATGTTCTCAAATTGATTGTGATGATGATTGCATAACTCTTTGTAATATGATTAAACCATTGAATTCCATGATATTTGAATTATATGTCAGCAAAACTGTTGTCTTTTAAATATATACATATAGTGATGTTGAGTTATATAGGGACCCAAAGTATTAAAGTACTCTAAAGGGAGCAGTGTTTATTTGATTGGTCATTTATAAGCCGTGCTTTGTTTGTGTGTAACATAGAATAAATATCAGTAAAAGAAAAGGAGAAACAACACACTGCTTTACATAAGAAGGCCATAGGACATGTGTAAAGAGGTTAAAAACTTACTGCAAGAATCACAACAAGTCTAATGATGAAAAAGTATGCCTATCTGAGTCACTTAGGGTTCAGTATAGCAATAATGAAGCCCACAACCTTCCTCTGGTTCTTGAACGCTTCCTCCCCCCAACTACCAGGACCCCAATTTTGCATTGCAGACCTGGTTGGACCAGATGATGCACAGCGGTACAGACAGGAATTGGAAACACAGGGAATCTAGGACAGAGGAACCTCTCAGGACCAGGGGTGACAGTGGCGATACCAGGAGGGAAAGGGGATGTAGTAGGGGGGAATGGATCACAGGGAGCTACGTGTGGCCTCCTCTCTGGGGGATGGGCAGCGGAGGGATGGGTGAAGGGAGACGCCGGACAGTGTAATATAAGATACAATAATAATTCATAAATTATTAAGGGTGCATGGGGGAGAGGGGAGGAGGAAGGGAAGGGGAGGGGGGAAAAAAGGAAAATTAGCGGGTTCCGGGAACCCAAGAGGCAAGCGAATTTTGGGAATGATGAGGACAAAAAATGTATAGATGTGCTTTACACAATTGATCTATGTATTGTGATGAATTGTATGAGCCCCAATAAATTGATTTTTTTTTAAAGTATGCCTATTAATGAACTCAGAAAATTCTTTGTGTTAATTAAGTATTTGATTACCTCTTTCCTTACCTGGAACTTTTTTTTTTTTTTCAAATTTAACCATCCAGAAAACAGGTAAGACGGTGGCATTTCTAAACAGCAATGACTATGCTCTTACAGATCTCGAATGCTAAACAGGAGAAGATAGAAAGAGAGTTGTTCTTAAGTCCATTTCACAAGGAATACATGTATCACAGTAGAACTGTTTTCCAAAGGAGTTTTCCATGATTGATATTTTAGAAGAAGATCTACAGACCTTTCTTCCCAGGGGCTACTGGGTAGGCTGAGATCTCTGATCTCTTAGCTAGCAACAGAAAGCACTTAACTGTTTACAACACCCAAGTATGTAATCATGGACCAAACATATTTCAAACAAGGCAAGGGCTCAAACTAAAGATGTCTATGAAGGAGAGATCGCCCTAACTCCTGATAGTCAAGGGATAAACTAAATAACATTACTTCATTTTGGAATCTTCTTTTTGGGAGCCTATGTGGAAAAAGGTGAGGGAGATATTTATGCACAGGAAAGAAAATAAAGTATGTGTCCAGGTGATCACATTTTTTAACTCCTAGATATTTTATTAGTTCATTGTTGCATTATTTAGCACATTGTTTAGCTTCATTAAGGAACTGAAAGAGAGGAGGGGAAGACAGTATTATAAATACATATAATTTTGCTGTATCAAAACTCTAACCCCCCTAAATGAAGTGCAAAAGTCATTTCACAGAAACAGCTTAGTAATTTTAGAAAGCCTAGACAATGTTCTAAGTGATCACAAAGAAAGGAGGAAATATAGATTGTTACCAGAAGGCATACTTTTGTTTAAAATCATCAATATTGTATATGAATTGTGAACCAGCTCTTTTCTAGATAATACTGTCTAAACTGTTAAACAAGAAATTAAGTTAACTGTTCCTTCATTGATCATTAAATAGACTATAAAATATGGCTACAGACTGTCAGCCCCGTTGCAGTTGGAGTATGCCAGTGAGACAGGGGGTTGCCGCCATAATACTCTCCAAACCACAGGTGCTGAAAATGCCCCTCCCCCCCAGTACACCCTCTCAAGTTAATAACATGGGCAAGCAGAGAAGATTGGGAGGACTTCTTTTCTTTAAGTGTCTCTCTCTGTCCCTCATGACTCAATGTTGAATAGTTATTCCATGTGTCTCAGGTAGCTCCCAGCTGGCTGGAATGCTACATTTAGCAGCCAGTTTTTATTTTGGATCAGTTGTAATTCACGAACCCCGCTACCTTTCAGAATTATAGAAATCTTGATTTAGTCTGATGGGCTCTAAGTTCAAGATATCAGTCTTTTTCATAAGTCCATTTTCCAGAAAAGTTTTCGTTAAATATCTTAGATGGCCCATAAAGCAAAAGCTCATCTGTAGGTGACAAAGCTTGATATGGCCACGGAGACATAACACAGGTACACACACGTTAGATGTCGTTGAATTGGTCTGACTCATAGTGACCCCTTGTACTACAGAATGAAACACTCCCCAGTCTTGTGCAATGCTCACAATTGTTCTTATGTTTGAGCCCATTGATGGAGCCACTGTGTCTGTGTTACAGGGAATTCCATCATAATACCTTCCAGGCCACAGGTGCTTAAAATGGCTCCCAACCTTTGATCCATTCAGGGCATCCTCTCCTGTCTTTCTCAAAATCATTTCTGGGAACCTCACTTTACTATTCCTTATCTGAGCCCCTCTCCTCTTCAAGGAAAAATGTATACAAGTAGATTGGAAACCTCTGTTTCTTCCAAGATGCTGTTCATTAACCTGATTCATTTGGGATTGAAATTCCCTTTGGGATCTCATCTAAAATGATTTGAAAATTTCTGTTGCTCTTATTTTTAAATCTCACCATTAACTTTGATCATGTGAAAAGAACATGCCCACTTTCTAACTAAACTGGAATTTGATTTCTACTGCTCATTGGCTCTGGAGCTTAGCATCGGCATTTCCTATTTCTTCATCTAAGTTGGCATTTGTTATGTGGGCACTCTTGCCTTTACTACAAAGACCTACTACTAATGATTGCTTCCTATATGGTTGGAATATTACTATCAGTGGAGCACATCAGAGGGAAGGTAACATTGTTTCTGAGGGGAAGGGGAAGCAATAAGCCTTAGTGGACATGTTGTAATCAATAGGAATGTGGAAGCCAATGAAATCAGTTTGTGTCTACGCATGACTTAGACTTAACAGATCTTAAGCTGACAACCTATGGGGTAGTATCTAAGTTTTCTAAGTGCTTCTGTAAATAAATACGATAAGTGCATGGCTTTTAAAAACAGACATTTATGTTTTCACAGTTCTAGAAATGAAATGTTTACCTAAAAGTCAGTACTGCTGTTTTCTTCCTTGAAGCCAGCCCCAGGCATTTCTGGTTCTTTGGCAATCTACACAGAGTGCCTGTCTTTCCCATCTGCACTTAATCTGACATATTTTTATAACTCAGAAGTTGCTAGGTTTATAACCCACACCCCAACTGTATTATGACTTAATTAACATTGCAAAGAAAACCCCATTTCCAAACAGGATCACATTCAAAGGTATAGAGGATAGGAATCCAATAGGTATGGTGGGGGGGGGAGGCACAATTCAATACACTATAATTTGTAGACAAACTATTTGAGTGTGTTCTATGCAGGGAGCTCTGGGGGTGTGGTAGTTATGCATGGGCAGCTCCACCCGCTGCTCTGCTAGAGGAAGATGAAGCTTTCTACTCTGGTAGAGAGAGTCTCAGAAACTCACAGAGCACTTCTAACTTGGGCTACAGGGCCACTATTAGTCAGCTTCGATTCAACGGCAGTGCATTTGAGGTTTTGTTGTTGTTTTCTGATTCTAAGTAAAATGCTTTAAAACTTTCCATGTCCTCAGGCCAAACTTCAAGGATGGCATAGCATTTCAAGATATCCAAAAATGATACTTTCAGGGATCAGTTCTCAAGTTTGTTACTAGAGAAGTTTCTCTGATCGTGTGGAGCACCGAAAACCCCGAGGAAGAGGTGCAGCATTCTCTCCTGAGCGTGAAGCCAGCCCATGGTGCTGCTTTGCTGCAGCTGTCACTTGCCATTGATGATCCTTCTTCTTCTCCTCTGCCTTTGTGCACAGTGAGAGGGAGAGAACGCAGTCTGAGGGGCAAAAAAAAAGAAGAGCGAGAGAGATGAAAAACAAACAAATAAAGATGCCCTGTCTTCCCTCTCCAGGCATAAAGAAACTCCAATGTATACAATTCAATAGTCTGCCTTGTAAGATTTTATAGTTTAAAACAGATAATACTGATCTGAGTGTATGCATATGGGCCAGAGATTAAAATACATAGGAATCAACACAAGAAACACATTGGGTCATCTTATTCTAATTTTGAGGGAAATAAATTCTTCAAATTATAACAGAGATCTTATATATCTTAAAACAGATCTATATATCATGTGCTTTCCACACCTTTAAAGGAAATGCCTCCATATTCCTTTTATTTCGGTCATTGCTTATTTATAATAGTCCCATATGTAACCCTGCTGAGACAGGGAAAAGGATCAAAGTATATATTTGGACATAGCATGCTTGAAGTGCTTGATAATAGCTTGGGAATACATTTCCCAGAACCCCTTGCCAACCTGATGGAAGTTCCCGAGAATCATGTGTACATGTGGAACCCTTAAAAGTGCTTAGTATGCCTGAGGGAAAAAAGAAGAGCTGATACCAAGGGCTCAAGTAGAAAGAAAATGTTTTGAAAATGATGATGGCAACATATGTACAAATCTGCTTGATACAATTGATGTGTGGATTGTTATAAGAGCTGTAAAAGTCCCCAATAAAATGATTCATATATTTTTAAATGCTTAGTATGCATTCAGCAGGGTAAGAAATACCTGATGTGCTGATCAGTAAAATTTTCTTTCTCCTGTTGTTATTAGATACCATTGAGTCAGGTCTGACCTATAGTGATCCTATGCACAACAGAACAAAACACTGCCTAGTTCTATGCCACACTAAAATGGACTTAGTTGCCGCTAGTACAGGGTATTATACTACAGTTGACTGACTTAGGAACAGGATAAGACAGGTGATGGGTGTTGTCTCTTTAATTTCTGAAAAAGCTGTGGGTTTGCCCCTTTCCCCAAGATGTGGATCTGCCATTACAAGATAGTGACCACCAATATATAGCATGTGGATCCACCATTATAAGATGGCAACCATCTGGAGGCCCCCTGTGTTTCCTCTATAGGGAAAATAAGCCTTAATTTTGGAAATCTCTTCTTATTTTGGAACCATTTCCTGGGTTCTTCTTTCCTCTGTTAACAAACAGCTCCTTGTGTTTTTAATAGGACAGTCCTTCTAAAGAGAGAAGTACTTATTTTAATTGGTATAAAAAGGCCTTCTAAAACAAAATATTGGTAAAAATATGTTTTACTTTTAGATGACAAGTAGATGAAATGTGTACAAATGTTTCCTTAAGAGTTGAACTTTGATTTTATAACACATGCATGTTTATGAATCAAATTGGTTTTTATAAATAACAAATGAAAATATATGAATATATATATGCATTCTTACATACACATATCAATTTTAGGATATGTGTGTGTGTCTCAAGATCTCTAAGTTATTTTGGTACAATTAAATTGACACATGTTTGCTGTTATTTGAAGTTCACATACTTTTAAAAGAAAATATGTATCTATGGTCATATCTGCTGAATAGTATGGCCATTTTTGTTGTCCAAAAGGGTTATATTATAAAAGATATCCAATAAGCAATAATGAAATATTTAAACTTTTATGACAGTAGATATATTTTGGTGGGTTATTCTGTTTTAAGGTACAAAAAGAGACCTAATATCCAATATAGTGTAAAGAGAACATTTATTGTCTTAAAAGAGACAAAGACAACACAAAGCCACAAAACATCACTTGGATGAGGGTGACCACCAACCCAGGGTTGAAATGTCGTCCAAGGGTTCACTGAGATACCAACCTTTAAAAAGGCCATTGATGCACAAAAGAAACTGCCACAAAAGCATAATTGGTAACAGATCAATACATCACAGACACGTATGTGACCACAGAACAATGATTGTGACACATACAATGTTAGATAGAAGGGGTTACAAGATTGATCCAGGAGCTTCCAGCAGAGGTAGTCTTGGCGAGACTGATAGGACATGATCATGACTATGCAACAGATCCCTAGTACCATGCCCAGGGTGGTGACTTCTACCAAGGACACACCTGGGTAAGCCTCTAAGAGAGAGGCTGCTCCTCCCTGGGCTGGATGGAGAGCGGTAGGAGCTATCCAGCCTCCACGGCACTCTGCCAGAGAGCAAGATTGTCTTTATCCTGGTTAGCAATCAGCAAGCATTCATTGGAGGTTTAATTTATGTGGGGACTCTGAAAATGAATTTGGACTATCACTGCCATCCATAGCCTTTTTTAAGCCAGGGTGGTCAGAATTTAACCTCTAATGTAATTCATAGGATAGATCAAAGCTGGTAAATCTGTCACCTCCCAAACATTGAATCTTGACTGGAAGTTCTGGCTCTATCAACAATCACCCCAAGTGGAGCAGAAAGGCAGATGGCCAGATTAACAACTGTTAAGAGGAGGGGACTCATCAATGGAAACTGTATTACTCCTAGATGGCCTGGGAAGGAGCACTGGGGGGATGCATGTTGGGCTTCTACCAGCAAGATGAGCAATTCAAAAACACCAACTGTTTCCAGGGTCACGATGAGGCGTTCTACCCTCATAAAGAGGGACAGTCCCAGACACTTGCCAGAGCAGCTCTTCCCTGTCCCTTAGGGTCGCTATGCATCAGACATGACTCCATGGTGATGAGTTTGAGCCTAGCTCTTCCCAAAGATGAGGGACTACTTCCTACTACATTCAGTTCAGAAGGCTCTGGAGGTGAGGGGGTTAGTTAATACAAGAAGATTCCCCTTAATATTTGAAGGTTTTTTTAGACAAAGTTTAACAGGCCTGTTCATTGAATATCAGAATCTGCTTGTGTTCCATAGTTTGTAATGTATGCAAATCATTTTACAGAAAAATTACATCATAATAATAATGTTGCTTTGTACAAAAATATCAATGAACTGAAAGTTTTCAGTGTTGTATTTTAAAAGCTTCCCTTTTGTCTTAAGTACTTTCCAACTTTTGGTTAACTTTGGTGTTGTATAAGTTTGTGAATTTATGATTTAAGAAGATAGATAGATAGATAGATAGATAGATAGATAGATAGATAGATAGATAGATAGATAGATAGATACACACACACATAAAATCCAAGCTAATAAAGCACAGGAAGCACTCACTCATACGTGTATATATAGATATATACATATATACACACACACACATATAAAATCCAAGCTAATAAAGCACTAGAAGCACTCACTCATACTTGTATACAGACACACACACACACACACACACACACACAAAATTCAAGCTAATAAAGCATTGGAAGCACTCATTTATACTTGTATAGGCCAGGAGATTTGGAAAGTGACCCAACAGAATGTTCAAGTTAGAGAACAATATCATTCATATCACATTCAAGTAAAATTTTGGTGAAGATCATCCAACAACAGTTAAAGCATTACATTAACAAGAAAGTCCCAGAGGTTCAGTGGTGATTCAAGAGGAAATATAACAAAGGAAATCCTGCTGATGTTAGATGGATCTTGTAAGAAAGCAAAGAATATCAGAGAGTTAACTTCTATTTTATTGACAATGCTAAGGTATTCAAGTGTGTAAATCATAACAAACTATGGATAACCTTGAAAAGAATTCCAAAAACACTATATTGCATTTATGTGGAACCTGTACATGGATGCAGAGGCAGTTATGTGAAGAGAGCAAAGGCATACTGCATAGTTTAAAAACAGGAAAGCCTGCACCAGGGTTGCATCCTCTCACTATACTTAATTAACCTGTCTGCTTAGCAAATAAGCAGAGGAGATGTATTTTATAAAGAAGAATGCATTATCAAGATTGGAGGATGGCTTATAATAACCTGAAATATGCAGATGACACAAGTTGCTTGCTGAAGGTTAGGAGGACCTGAAACACTTGCTGAGGAAGATCAAGGATTGCAGACTTTAGTATGATGACAACTCAGTGTCAAGATAACCAGAATCCTCACAGCCAGACCAGTAGGTAACTTCATGATAAGCATAAGAAAGATTGAAGGGGTCAAGGACTTCATTTTGCCTGGACCTCTAGTTAAGGCTTATGGGAACAACAGTCAAGAGATCAAGAGATGTGTTGCATTAGGTAAATCTGCTGCGCAAGACCTCTTTAAAGTATCAAAAAGCAAGGTTGAGGACTAAGGTACACCTGTCTCATGCCATGGTGTTCTCAATTGCTCCCATTTCTGTGAAAGTTGGACATTGAATAAGGAAAACCAAAGAAGAACTGCTGCATTTGAATTATGGTGCTGGCAAAAATATTGGAAGTACTACAGACTGCCAGAAGAACAAACAAATCTGCCTTGGAAGACATGGATGCTGAGACTCTGTTTCATGTACTTTTGTACATACTGTCAGCAAAGACTAGATCCTGGAGAGTGGTGTTGTGCTTGGTAACATAGAGGTGTAGCAAAAGCAGGACTTCAATAAGGTGGATTGACACGGTGACTGCATCAATCAACTCAAACACAAGAACCGTTGTGAGAATAGCACAGGACTGGGCAGTGTTTCATTCTGGAGTACAAAGGGTCACTCTGAGTCAGAATCAGCTTGATGACACCCAACAACAAACATATATGTACATACATATGTGTATATGTATATGTATGTGTGTGTATATATACATATATATGACAACCATGGCTTTATCAAACTTTGTCACCTACAAATAAGCTTTTGCTTTATGGACCAGCTAAGGCATTTAACAGAAAATTTTCATTAAAAAATGGACTTATATCTTGAACTTAAAGCCCACCAGGCTTTATCAAGATTTCTAGAATTCTGAAAGGTGACTGGTTCCATGAATTACAACTGATCCAAAGATAGAATTTTTTTTTTAAACTTAGCTGGAAGCTACCTGACACACATGGAAGAACTACTCAACACAGAAGATTGAGCCATAACGGGAGGAGAGAGGTACTCAAGGGAGAGACAAGTCCTCCCCATCTT